CTGCTGTGCACAGGAAGCTGTGCAGCCTGCACTGAAAGAAGGGCCTCAAGGCAGAGTGAAGGGGATTAATGGTTCCAGTGTGTTCTTAGTTTCATGACTTGCCTGTTTTCCAGACAGGCTTTCAGGTCCATGAGGTGGCACACGGTAGCCAGAAGCTGGCATGTCTGCATGAGCAGCCCAGTTCCTGTGGCTGCCAGGCCCAGTGTTAATTGTCTGTGGAGCTCCAGAGCTGCTGTGTAAATGTGTGTCTCACATTAGCACATGGGAACCCAGGATTATGTTATTCCCTGAGCTATATGTTCACCATGACGTGTTCTGGTTGAAAGCAACCCTAAACCTGAGATCAGGAACACTTTGATACCATTTGCCCTGGACTCTGTGATAGCATTTCTTCTAAATTAAACTCACTTGCTTGATGAAGCTCTGCAGAGCTGGCCATGGCTCACATAGTTTCCACATTTCCCAGCTGTTTGTTTGTTTCATTTACTTGAACCAGCACAAACACAAGCCTTGGTGTAGCTGCCAGCAGGACTCAGCCATCTCCTGACCTTGGCAAGGCAGCGTTTCCAAGACCTCAGGCTCCATGGAGTGCAGTTCCTCCCAGCTCAGCCTCCAGCCTGCTCCTGGAAGTTTTAGGGAAGGGTGTTGAAGCCAGTCCCCACCTCTGCTGCAGGGATGGAGCTGCATGTGTTCTGTAACCCTGCCGGGGCTTTCACAGCCCTCTTAGGAGCCTTGCTGGATCCCTCTGAGGAAGAGTATAGGGAAATTGAGGGAGCTGTTAGCCGAGGAGGTCTGGGAGGCTGAGACAGGGTCTGCAGGCTGGGGGTGGTACCTGGGGAGAACCTGTGTGCCTTTCACCCCTCGGCAGAGCAGAAAATCCTCTGGTCAGAGCCACCACACCTGCTGATATGCTGGCTCCCTGGCCATTGTGGAACATCATGCCTTGGAAAATCCCTGCCAGCATAACCTGAAGAAGTTTCTTTCTAGGTAGGGAGATCTTTTCTTGGTTCTTTTTAAGTATTATTTTTGTTTTACTATGTGAAAGCCTGGTGAAAAGAGGCAGCTGGAAGCTGCACAACTATCCAGCACAAAAGGCCTCAAAGGGCTGCAGCTGGCTGTGGGCTTAGGCTGGAAATATGGAAACTATTCTGCTCTGCTTGTGGTTGGCAGGAGTTTCTGCACACAAATAGAGATGCCTCAGCCAGGACCCCTCTGAGGCCTCTTGTGGGCTTGGCTGAAATGAGCTAAGTGTCTCTCGTTGAGTGATTAGCTATCAATATCCTTGCTTGACATGAAATATGTAAATAAAACAGTATCCTTCCTCTTGAGGTGACAGGGAAAGGCTGGTCTGTGACTACTCTCCTCACCAGCAGCTCTGCTCCTGGAACAAGCACACTGCAGTGCTGTGCTGGCCATGGGTGGGACCTCAGGGACAGAGAGGTGTGTTGTGCTTGGCCAGAGCCCATTCTGCCTCTTAGGAGGCAGAAATCTCACCTTCACATCTCGGGTGGCTGTTGAGGGAACTGTGTTACTGATGCACTGCTTATGCCAACTGCCCAGGCAGGAGTTGGCCCCCACAGCCTTGCTCTGTAGCCTGAGATTTTCTGAGCCTTCATGGCATTTATCTTTCTGCATCCCAAGTGGCAATTTGTGACCTGGGAGGGGACATCCAAACTGCCTCACTTAGCAGGTGCGAGTTTTGCGACTGCTGCAACCAAACCAGGTCACTTCATGTACCCAGCCTCCCTGCCCTGAGCCTGATGGTCTGTTAGCCTAATCCAAACCCTAAGGGCTAAGTTGGAGGCACCTGGAAAATGCCAGTGCAGCTGGTAGAGCTGTGTTGTGTTTTACAAACCACTGAGCTGCCTGATAGAAAAATTGCCCCAACAGGGCTGGCATCAAAGCTGCTTTCTCTACCAACAAGCCCTTGAGGAGCGTGATGCCACCACAGGCTCAGTGCTGAGCCGTTGTCCTAGTAGTTCTTTGCACAGAGCCAGGAGCCTGGAGCAGTTATCAGGGCTCCAGTGGTGTAACCTCACCTCCTCTCCTTGTGCAGGGCCTGGCAGTTACACCGTGGGCACCATGTCGGAGCGCTTTGACTGCCACTACTGCCGGGACCCCCTGCAGGGGAAGAAGTACGTGCAGAAGGAGGGACGTCACTGCTGTGTCAAGTGCTTCGAGAAGATCTGCGCCAACACCTGCACCGAGTGCAAGAAACCCATCGGAGCTGACTCCAAGGTGAGTGCTGGGATATGATGTTAGGAAGAAATTATTTGCCCTGAGGGCAGGAAGGCACTGGAATAGGTTGCCCAGGGAGGTTTGTGGCTGCCCCCTCCCTGGAGGTGTTCAAGGCCAGGTTGGATGAGGCATGTGCAGCCTGGTCTGGTGGGAGGTGTCCCTGCCCATGCAGGGAGGTTGAAATGTGGTGATCTTTAAGGTCTCTTCCAACCTTTAACCATTCTATTAAATGGGTGATGAGAAGACGAGAAGCAGATGCTGGTAACCTCCCATTTGTTTTCCTGGCACTGGTCTCTTTGTGAGCTTCTGTGTGAAAACAAGTTGTGAGTCCTCTGGCTGATGGGCCGTGTGCTCCTTGGGAAAGAGCCAGAGGCTCTGGATCTGCAGTAGAGATGCTCACAATGGGCTGCTTTTGCACAGGAGCTAATTTCAGGATCTAGTTTGAGCCACGTGAACTGCTGCACATGCTGAATTTTCCCAAGGAGAGCATGGTAGGTAACCCAGCCTGCACAGGACTGGCAAAAACTCAACCTAGGGTCTGGTTTATGTCAGTTTATCAAATGTTTATTTATTGCTTCATGTTTATCCCCCCTGAACTAGGGGGAACTTTATAACCAGAGGAGCCCACACTTTCAGAACTTCAAATCTCCAAGCTGTTTGTTTGAAGCATCTTCTGCTACCCTGAAACTCCAAAGTGAATGTGATGGTGTCAGTCAGTTTGGTTAAATGCCCTTTTAACCACAGATTGCAGACATGCTTAGGAACTAGGGAATCTGTCCTTTACTACCAAGGCTGATGAGGCAGTAGCTTGGTTTTAGGGCTGCTCAGCAGGAGAGAAGGGCTCATTGCTCACTCCACTTCTGTTCCTTCCAGGAGCTGCATTTCAGGAACCGCTACTGGCACGACAGCTGCTTCCGCTGCTTCAAGTGCTACACGTCCTTGGTCAACGAGCCCTTCATGCTGAGGGAGAACAACAAGGTCTGGTGCAGCAACTGCACTGCTGCTGAGGATGCACCCAGGTGTAAGGGCTGCTTCAAGCCTATCATTGCAGGTACTGGTGCCAGTGATGGGGCACAATGACCAAGTTCTGCTTTAGTGCAAAACCGTGGCTGTTTTTCAAGCTATGGAGGCTGAGTTAGATGTGTGAGCATCACAGGGGAAGGCTGGAACACCACAAAATGGTGCCTAAGTTTTGACTTTTGCTCTTGCCTGTCCATTTTATTTAAGTAAGTGTTGAAAGTCTGCTTTGCCATTAACACCCATGTGGATAGTTCACCCTAGTAGTTAGAATTAAACCAATTATGGCAAAAGCTTTGCTCTGTAAATTGAGGTAATCTTCTCAGGAAGGCTCAGGCACCTGCCTGACAAATATTTTAAAACAATGTACAAGGTCCTGGCTAAAGTCAGATACAGAAATTAACAGCTCATCCCTTGTCCATGTTAAACTGAATCGTCGGCATGGACGGGTCTTGCCTACAGGTATGGGATATTGCCCAGGGTGGGAATTTGTCAAAAGCCTGAAATCCCACATAACAAGTTATTTCTGTCTGTTGCAGGAGACCAAAATGTGGAGTACAAGAAGATGGTCTGGCACAAGGACTGTTTCACCTGCAGCCAGTGCAAGCAAGTGATTGGATCTGGGAGCTTCTTCCCCAAGGGTGATGAATTCTACTGTGTCTCCTGCCACGAGCATAAGTTTGCCAAGACCTGTGCTAAATGCAAGAATGTAAGTGGCACTTGGCAGCTTTGGAAGTCTTTTGGAAGATAGGAGGGTAAACCAGCAGACACACCATGCTGGAGCTGCACCAAGGCTTATCTTCTATCCTTGAGATACTGGTGCAAGCAGCTGGTGGCACAATAATGTGAGAGCTTCTTGCACCTTAGTCTGAGCTGGGGCTCGAGGGTTGTCTGTTGGTACCTCTGCTGAAAGCCAGAGGGCACTGGCCTTGCCCTTGCTTTGGGGCTGGTTTAAGCTCTCCAGCAGATACTGTGTATTCAAAAGCAACCCAGCATTTTACAAAGCAGCTGTTTGACAACTTTTGCACCTGACTGAAGTAGAACTGCAGTCAGTGCAGGTAAAATAAACTACTATGAAAGCTCCAGGCATGCAGGACTTGAGAGCAGAGCAACTCAAGTGAACTGCACTACTTTATTTTAATGAAAACTTCTAGGATATCTTCTCCATGACAAAGCTCTCCTACTGGAGGTGTCCCTGCCCACGCAGGGGGTTTGGAACTAGATGATCTGTAAGGTCCCTTCCAACCCAAACCAGTCTAGAATTCTATGCCTGCATCACCTCTCTCCCTCCCTATGGATTATGAAAAACATCTCTGCTTTTTCCCTTCCAGCCCATTACTTCTGGAGGTCTCACTTACCAGGAACAGCCTTGGCATTCTGAGTGTTTCATTTGCTCCAACTGCAAGAAGCCGCTGGGCGGGAAGCGCTTCACAGCCGTGGAGGATGAGTTCTACTGTGTTGAATGCTACAAGGAGTGTGTAGCCAAGAAGTGTGCTGGCTGCAAGAATCCCATCACAGGTATGTTGGATTATATGCAGCTTGGGGCTGGGGGTACTTAAGGTCAGAAGAGTGACCCATCCCCAAAGAGGCTGCTAACCCCAGAAGCAGAGCTAGTGTCCCAATCCTAATCCCATCAGTTTACATGTGATCTAACTAAAAGGTACATGCTTTTGCTGGGAGGAGCCTGAGTTAGTAACTGAGCTCTTTACCATTTACATGCTTATAATTTGCCTCCTTCAAAACTTTTCCCCCTTGAACTGTCTGATACCTTAATCTTGGAACCTCACGTCTAAACAAAGCAATGTTTTATTGCTTCCAAGTGACAATCTACTTCACTGCTGATGCATTTTATGTGTCAGTTACCAGACCACAAAGCTCAGTCCTGAAATGTGGGTACAATCCTGCCAGTCCCACAGGGCTTGCATTCCATTTTGCATTTCACAGCATGGATCTGAGCCTGTAACAACCAGGTAGGCTAGTTGGCCCGGCCTGTCCTTGCTCTACATCATGAGCTTTCCTTCAGCTTGCCTGTTTCCTGGAGAAAGGATCCAAGATGAACACTTATTGCAGAGCCAAGCCCCACAGCCTGGATGCTGAGCTGCCCGTGTCTCTAAGGACAGTGATACTGAGCAGCAAACAATGTGGTTCAGTTCCACCTTTGGCTAGTAAAGGCCAAATGATGGCCTGTCAGACTGCAGAAGCACAGGAAGCTTTAGGAATTGGAGCTGCTGCTTGATGGACTAACCCAGCCAAGGCAAAAGCTACTATCACCGTCCTATAATTGTCTTCTCTCCTAGCAGGATTTGGAAGAGGAACCAGTGTGGTTAACTACGAAGGTGAATCCTGGCACGATTATTGTTTCAAGTGCACCAAGTGTTCCCGTGGCCTGGCCAACAAGCGCTTTGTTTGCCACAACGGGAAGATTTACTGTGCTGAGTGTCCCAAACGGCTGTGAGGAGCAGACAGCAGCTGCTGTCACATGGATTTTACAGGCCTGGGGAAAGGAGCAGGGTTTTGGTTTTTTTTTGCATGTTAAGAATTTTAACCTTTTTTCCATTCTAGTATAAAAACTAAAGTAGCCTCAACATACTGGGTGTGGCTTCTGAAGCTCCTGCAGCCCAAAAGCTTGTAGTGTTGCATAAATCTAACTTTGCTTTCAAGTAACTCTTAGTGTCAAGGCTTGAAATGCTGTTAGATTTTCAAGATCCACATACTATGAAATCTAAGTGTGCCTTCAACTAAAACAAAACTAGTTTTAACCCTCTCTGCTGTACATCTAATCTTGGCACTTAAATGAAGTGGGTTTGACACTCCAACCGGAGATGCACAGACTGCATTTGGGATCAGAGGAGCTCATGACACTGTTTTTACCAGTTCATTACATACATCACACCACTAACAGCAGCTCAGTAATCAATACCTTACCCTGCCACACCAAACTGCAGCACATTGTATGGGAATGGCTTTATCCTACATATACCAAAGGTCTGGCAGGATGATTTAGCTTTAGTTCAGTAGCCATAAACTGATTTTAGTCTTTATTCCTGCATGGTTTGCCCAAAAGTTTTGCTCAACAGCTTTTTTTACATCATTGTTTAAATTAAGCTATCTATATGCAATTATTAAGCCATTAACAAGAAGGAAACCTTTTGACTACAACAAAATGCACATGCATTTAGAAGTGCCTTAAAAAAATAACACAAACCAGCTCAGCCAACAATAGCTCTCCTATCATGTCAGTGTATGTTTTATGGTTTAATAAAAATGAGACTAGTGCCTGCTTGGAGTCCTGCAGTCTGGAACATTGTTTTATCATTCTGCCATCTTGCACAATTGACACTTCTTATGGCTGAGCTGCTGCAATCAAGTCTGAAACACTGACACTGGCAAGGAGAGTCAGCTGTTCTGCCACAGCACCCTTAAATAGCTGAGGACCAAAGCAACAATTTCCATAAACTAATTAATTTTTTCAATGTGTAACTGACACTGGATCATCTGCCAAGCACAGCCTGTGTGAAAAAGCCCTTTGGAGAACATATGTATGACAGAACTGTCCCCACACAGCTCTGCTGCCACCCTTCAGCAGCCTGGATGCTGGGTTAAGGGATGGTCTTTTCCACAGCTGTGGTTGATACCACAGAGGAATATTTACCAACTGGATGCTGCTCTAGCCATTCTCTTTTGTTCACAAGCACCTACCAGAAACAAAGAACCTTTGCAAGGAAAACAAGAGGCAGCATCTTGCTGTCTTCCTCATGGTCACTGCTCCATGGAGCACTGCTCCTCTCACTGTTAAGACCATAAAGATGCTGGTACTACAGGTAAAAAGTTGAAGTTTACAGTGAAAAGCAAGGTAAAGAACTCAACAGTGATGAACAGGTTACTGGCATGTACAAACACAGCAAGAGCTGAAGGTTTTAGTACAAACACCTTCCACCCACACAGCTGCAATTCCTCAAAGAGGTTCAAGTTCTGGGAAGCTGCAGATGGAGCAGCCCCAGGGTGCACCTCAAGGCAGGTCAGTATGGCCAGGCTCAAGAAGCTCCTAGTAAGGTCACATTTAGCATTACAGAACTAAAGTGTTGGTCAACTGCAAAGTTTATTTAACAGTGTGCACATATTTACACAGAGCTGTAACAGACCATCAACAAACAGGATCAGCACAGGAAAAATATCAGCATCTTTTTTGTCAGCGTGATTGTCTCTGCCAGAATGAGCAGCTAGCATACAAAAATACATTCTCCTTTTTACCTAAGGCACTGCTCTAAAGGCTAAAACAGTTCTACCACATCCTGAAGAGCAGGCAGTGAGAAGGCTGAGGGGTTGCCTGTTGTGACTGCCACGGCTAGGGAAGAACTTATTTAACATCTTTAGTGCCAACAAACCCATTTGCATTTAACTGCTGAAAAGTGCAGCTGCCATTTGGTGACTGATTTGGGTTGAAGTACCAGCCAATGGTTTGTAGCAGGACTGGAGAGAGCTATTCATTACAGTTATCCCTCAGCCTGTCCATCTGTTACAGGAGGTGTAAGAACAAGGCTGCATTATGACTTTTAGTAGCAATTTTCAGAAGATGCTTTAGTTAATCTCTTCAGAAGATGCTTAGTTAATCTCTTCATGCTGTAAAAAGCAGGCAAGTTTGGGTTAAATAGATCACTTAATGCAGGCTTTAAGGGAAGGGACCTATATATAGTGCAGCCATTGTTAAAAAGCTAGAACAGGAACACTCAGAATAATTAACATGAACAAAATATGACTTCAGTGGTCTAATACTGTTATGTACACAATAAAATAATACTTCCATGAGTGTAGATAAACAAGTAATTCCAAAGGAAAACATTTTTAAAAGCATGACCTGTTAAACTGCACTACAACAGACATATCAGGTACTCCTCGTTTTTGTAACATGTTAGTGCATTTGCTGTAAAACATTTTGCTGTTTGCCAATAGATTAAAACACATCAGTGATGGTACAATTCTGCATTTTGAAACTGCCACTGTTTTCCTGTTAGAAAAGAAGGAATTTTTCTTCTCCATTCAAAGCTGAAGATACCCAATTCTGCATTTTTAAATAGCACACGAACCAACAAGTAACAGTGTTTTCTAGAATGTTACAAAGGGAGTTCAACTTTAACAAACTCTGAGTGAGTCTTATTTCATCAAGTGCCATTTTAGGAATATGCAACCTCTGTCCAGTAACTAACTGGGAAGGTTCTAGTAGCTAACTGGGGAGGCTCCAGTGGCACGCTGCTGTAACTGAGACTAACAGGAGTGTAAAGAAAAGACTCAGATTCTGTAAAACCTAAACAAGTGATATTTGAACAAGGAAATCTTAACTAAGCTAAACAAATGGAAAAGGAACATCAGCAGAACAGCTTCCCTGAAATGTTTCAAGGTGCAAATCTACAAGTTTGCCATCCCTCCCCTGGCATTTTGTATGTTGGTTTTATTGGAAACTTGCAGATGGAAAAGGTAAACAAGCAGCTTTTCAAAACAAGGCCCTTGGTACTTGGTAAAACACTGAAGTGCAATTGAATTATTCCCAGATCTGTAATGTGCACAGTTCTGTCCAAAGAACAAAGAGAAGACAACATGTAACCATCAAAACTCCGTGTGTGCCACACAGGTCTGTCATCACTGCCAGAGTCTACACCCAGAGAGTGAGCACAGAGCCACCTGGTTACTCACATTCTCAAACCAGTGCAGTAGCTTTTCTCTTTTTTATTTAGAAATATTAGTTTTCAAAGATACGAACGCAAGTCTTAAACCATTTTATGTCTAAACATCTTCAAGTTCAACATTAAAAGGCAGCACTTCACTAAAAAGTTAATGATTTTGATGAGGACAAAATGTGACCAGCAGTGTCACACTGAGTCCTTCTACTCCCACGTAGTTGTGGCCTCCAGGAGAAGACTCAGTAAGGCTGCACCCATGGGGCTAAAGGTCAGGAGACGCAGAGTGACAGAGGAGACTCAGGAAACAGTTCAGTCTAGAAAAGTGCTACACTTTAATAAACAAAAGTGCTACACATCACTTAATGGTGGACAGCAAGTCTTGTCTGTTCCCTACCATTCACTTCAACTGTTCCCGCAGTCATTTCTCTCTCAGAAAGAGATCTCCTGCTGTCAGGATGTCCATTTGGGGGTCAGTTCCAACACCAGAGTCTAGTCTTACCTAAACTAGCTCACTGAAGCCCCTCGGACACACTGTGCTGTGCTGCATCAGGGTTTGGCTTCTCCAGCACATGTAGCTTCAGATGCAGCTGTACTCCTTTCAGAAAGTTCAGAATATTGTGTGTGCAGCTTTGTTAGTCCTTCCAAAATGTAACACAACCATCTATGGGATTTAAGGTTGGTGTTACACCCTTCAGTGAAGTGCAAGACTATTCTACAGGAACTAGAAAGAACAGCTAACACCTTACCAGAGCCTGAAGAGACCTTGTAAGACCACATAGATCAACATCAAAAAGTTACAGAACATGCCTAGGAGTGGAAAGGTCTTGTCTGCAGAGTTACACCAGACACCTTTTGAACTGTTAGTATCTTCAAAAGTAACATGTGCCATTTAAGACATCTTAGAAGAAGCCTAAAAATACAACAGATGGGCCTGAGTGCTGGTAGGAGATAGAGGAGCTTCCCAGGGACCCAGCTGTGTCTTTGGAAGAGCCTTCATGTTGGGCCTTAGCTGCTGTCTAGAGCAAGTCCCTAAAAAGGCATCAGTTGGCGACTGGTTTTGACAGAACACAAGTTATAAGCACTAAAGAAAGAGCTTTCCCTCTTGTCTACACATGGGAAAAAGTGCCTTGAGAATAAGAAGCTGAAGTTAAGGCAAGGAGAGTAAAATGTGAGGAAGTTAATGATCTATAGCCAGAGGCAGGGACAGAGAGGGAAATCAGCTGGGATTACCTGATGAAGCATCTATAGGTTTGGTCAAAGAATTCACTGCACCATCTTCCTCAAAACCCAGCTGGGGACTAGGAGGTATCGTAGCAGCATCATTCAAGTTTTGATGACAGTGATGAGCCGAGATGCTGTCCAGGCTCAGTCTGGTTGCCTTGGAATGTACTCCAACATCAAGAAGCTCCTCCAGAGTCCATGAACCAGATTTTCCATTAAGATTCTGAGTGAGTCCAATTGTCTGATCAGCTTGATTAATACCCAACTTCACCGAGTCACCCAGACCCATTTCCTTTGCAGGATGGCTAGAAAAAAAGAACAGATACTTGTATTACAATTTCTGGATGCTTAACCTTTAGATTTATTACAGGAGAGCCAATTAACAGCTGCATAATTTGCAAGGTGCTGAATATTCCCAAAGGCATTCCTAGACAATTCTCTCTTGCTTCCACATGGGATTTCCCCTCTGGAGCTGATGGGGAAGAATGACTTACCAACATACAGCCACTTGTTGCTTACTAAGAGCTCTCAGGTAGAGAGCTGGAGCTTTCTGGCTCCAGAAACTTGATATAAGCAAGAAGTTTAAAGCCCAGCACCACTCAAACCCTATTTTAGCAGTGTGCATTCTCTCTCTTTTCTCCAGTTAAGACTTTTAAAACAAAACTAAGCCTGACAAGACAAGTCGTATTAAAAACAGATTCAAACTCTAAACCCAAATCACAGTGATCAATTTCCATTCATTCTTAAGGAAATACTGAAAAAATCTTTACATTCCATCACTGGAGGAATAAAATGAATTTATTATCACTTAAAAAAAAAAAAAGTTCACATTTTCATTTCTAAATCATTAGCATTTAGATGAAAAAGAAGAGGCGTTAGAGGACAGATTTTTCCAGTAGTAGATGGAAATGCTTTATGTCCAAAAAGATAAAATGGGAAATATGAAAAAAAAAAAATTGCTATTAAGAGAGGTTTTTGTGTTGTACTTGGTGTTTTAGCATAACTGAAACTGTTCCAGAGCTTTCTCTAGGCTAGTCCTCCTTTACAGTGTTGTCCCCCTCCTGCTTGGTTAATGTTTTGTTAATGAAAAGGACTGAGAGACAGTTCCAGGGAAAAGATTTCAAGCCAATGCTGTTGTTTGTGAGTGACAGTGCAACACTACTGGCTGTGTGTCCCACTTCTGGCCATGGTGCCACCTAAACAATCAATTATCCTGACCTGCCAGCATGGACACACCACAGGCCTGGAGCAAGGCAGAGAAAACACCACAGAGCCAGGGGGATGCAAGACGTGGTGCAGAGCTACATACAGCCCTTAATTTCATTGAAGCACAGAGAAGGAGTTCTCATGTGATGGGTAAGTGCTCTGACAGCAGAGCAGCCACCTACACAGACCCACCTGGAATCCTTGAGTTCAGTAACAAGCAGAGACCCCTCGTCACTCTTCAAATTGCTTCCGTTCATGAAGACCTCGGTGCCCTTCAGCTCTGACACATCTTGTTCCTCAGGTTCTACAGAGACCAAGCCATGAGCAGCCTCTGAACAACCCTCTGCCTCCTCCCTGACTTCCTGGGGTAAGTCAACGCCATTCAGCTTTCCTGAATGGGAGGGGGAGGGGAAGAAAAAAGAAAAAAAGCTTCAGAAAGAGAAGTGCTGTTCTAAATGAATAAATGCAAGTGCCAAAATGACATTTCCCAGCCAAAACTAAAGGCATTTGGCTTTGACAGAATAATTTCTCTATAGACAAGCTGCCTGTAACAACATGAACCCTGTTTTCCATCTTTAAAAATACACTTGTAAAGTGGAAACAAGTTGCCTGCATTTCACTCTCAAATGATGTTTGCATTTAGTAATTTTGACTGTCTCCTGCACTATGGGAACAGGCAATGATCTCTCTGTTCAAGCAGAGAACCTCCCTGGAGTTTCTGGAACTTAGACCTGACTCATCAAGTTTCCTTACCTGGTTGCTCAGCCTTCTCAAGACCCAGCTCTTCCTCCTCTTCAATATCCTCTCCCTCCATAGCCTCAGGGACAGACTTCCCTTCACTCTGCAACTGAAAGGCAGGAGCATTACTCAGCAGAACTCCCCACCATCGAATGTTCCATGAATGGCTCAGTCCCTGCTCCCCTGCAGGAAGGACCACCCTGTGCCCAGCAGTGAGGCCACACTAGCCCAGAAGCTAGCAGACAATCAGGTCACCCTCTGCTGAGCCCCAGCCTGGGAAGGAATGTGTGGGACCCACTATCTCCTACCTATAAACTATTCCTGAATTCCTTCCCCCTCATTTTTGCCAGTGTGTGCTATATATTTGTTGGTTTTCAGCTATATGGAAGTCTTGGATCTCTGAGCATCCAGAGAATGACTGTTCCTTAATGTGTGTCATTTATCACACACCTCAGGTCACTACAGTAACAAAAAATACACTCAATTTCCTGTAGCAACCCAAGGGGCACTCAAGATTTGCTTTAAGCAAAGAGATGAAGCCAGGAGTTCAGTTTTCTGGGTCAAAAACAGCCCCAGCAGAATGCATACAGTTAAAAAAAAATAAAATTCATTACCCATTAGTGTTTTTTTTACCATGGCAACTCACATGGCTTCTCTGGGCTTTGAACAAAAATGCAAAGACTTTTGGCCAGGACAAGTGAAGCAGAAAAACGTTTGCATTGGGAAGCTACTGAAAATTGTCCTGGTGCACCAGAACTTGGTACACATGGAAACCAGTTTGTGGAAGGTCAACAGAAAAAGACAGGATACAAGGCAAAGCCTTCTCTGGGAAGGGGCTGTGCTGCATGAAACAGATCCAGACAACTACCTTAGATTCGTTTTGATCTGACCTCCTTGTTCTTTTCATTATTTCTTCAATTCTCTGTTAAAACAGGGAAAATATTTGCAATGACATAGAGAGCTCAGCATTCTGGTTTAAAATGTCATCAATTATATTCTCCTATTTCATAAATTCACTACTTTTTTCACCATTTTTGAAGTTCACAAGTCAAGAGCTAGCTTTTCTTTTAAAGAACACACTAGTACTTAAATGACTATGAGACCATTTATCTGTTCAGTTTAACACCTCAACCAGTAATTCAGGCTGAGAAACTTCTCTGCTCTCCACACAGCCCACCTTTTTTCTTTCAAGCCTCTCCTGCATATTTTGCTGCATAATTCTCTCTCTTTCCAGCCTCTGTCTCTCGGCCTCTTCTTGAGCTTTTGCTTCAGCTTCTTCTTTCTGAAAACGAAACAAGAGCACCCAGTGCACAACTCATTCCCAAGAGTCAAAAGCAGAGCTGTTAGAGCTTCTGGGTCAGCAGATTTACAGGAACATCAGACAGTCACTATTAAATATTACCATTCTTTGCAGCTAAATGCCAGTTACCCAGCTACTGACATGAAATACATATTCCTATGACATTCAGAAACTGATCTGAAAATGATGTGCCTGGCTATATTATGATGGTGCAAATGGTCTGGATCTTGTTGAGATACTGAGGTTTCAAACTAGACTTCAGGTTGAAGATTTGCCTAGGAAGGGTAATTTATAAAGTAGCAAGACAGCAATTAAATTCTAAATGTGGGAAGATCAACTTTAAAATCTTAGCAGTCAGGTATTACTACCAAGACACTTGGTACTAAGAATCTTCTGTTCCTTCTACATTGGAAAATCTTTTCCAGTATGGCTGGAAAAAAGATAGAAGCACAGTTAACACTCTGAATAATTGTTATAAACCTAAATAAGCTTTTAAAAAAAAACTTCAGACACATGTCAGTACTGCCCAAGAGATACAGCTCTTCAAACACAAAGAAGTTGATTGTAAAACTGCTTTAACTTTCAAAATTCATCTCATTTAAAGTCCACTTTCAGCAGAACAGTTCCCTTCAGTTAGAAGGATGTCTTTGTAAAGCTACAAAGATATTAGGTGTCGAAGATTATTTAGAACTGGAAAAGCAGACTTGGAATCACTACCAATCCTTCTTTTAAAGGAGGCAGAGCAAGTCAGATGACTTTCAGAACAGATCACCTCCTTATAATCCTCAGCAGTAAGCTGGGCAAGTGGGCTCAGTACCAGTATTTTACACATGCAAAATAGCATCCCAGATGGCTAAAAAGATTCTGCTTCTGCCCCACACTTGAATTTATCAAATGCTGAGAAAAAAAATCACACAGACTAAGGCAAGAAAAGGACTTCAAGACGCTCTCAAATCCATCTCAGACAGGATGAACTCTCCTGACAGATTTGTCAAAACGTTCTGTGGAAGAAAATTGAAGACAACTCCCTCCCAAACATGCCAGCAACTTGTGTGAGGAGCACAGGTGGAGCTTACAGAGAACAGACCTGGTGTTGAAGCTCTGCAAGCTTTTCCTGCTCTTCCTGCTCCCGGCGGATCCTCTCCTCCTCCGCTTGCCTTTGCTGCTCCTCATGAACCAGTCTCTTGTCTTCCTCCTGCTTCTGGAGCTCCTCCTCTCGTTGTGCCTTTTCCTCAGTTGCTCTCTTGGCCATTTCTTCTTCTCTGATTCTACAGTTTCCAAGATACAATTACCAGCTGGATATTTATTTGTGTAAAAGTGTGCATGCACATGAGAAAGGCTAGGAAAGCAAGGAAGTTCTAAGTTAACCAATCACAGAATAACTGTCTAAAGATACTTTCTGGAGTGGAATTCCAAATGTCACCATCCAGACCCATCGAATGAAAAAGCAGAAGTGACCTGGAAGAAACCAGCTACAAGTACATAAATGTTCTTTGCTGATTAAGCCAAGGCAGGTTGCTCCCATAATGGGATGTTTGATTGAGAACTGGATGCAGTGACAACTAATTAATAAGTACTACCTGCCTCCACAACATGAGTGAAGCTTTCATTCACTGTGAAACAAATCTACTGGGGTTTTCTAAAGATATTTCTTCTCCAGTCCAAATTCCAGGTACACTGGAGGTGTACACTGCCAAACCCTGCAGATGTGCACACAAGATCTGATGTCATTCTGATCAAACACCTGCAGCAGACTATACAGAATCACAGAAGGGCTTAGGTGGCAGAGGACCTTACAGATCATCCGGACCCCTGCTATCTTTAATCTTAAAATAATGTGCAGGAAACAAACACAGCTAGTGTTCACTCCACCCACAGCCCACCACGGAAAGCATCCCTTCCTCCTCCTGAATTGCTACCTTTCCTCTTCCTGCCTCTGAGTTCTCTCCTGGTCTTCACGCTCTCTTTGCTCCCGTGCCAGGCGTCGTTTCTCCGCCAAGATTTTAGCAGCTTCCTCAGCTGTGGTGGTCCCTGCTACCATTTTGCTACCTGATTCTGCAAATGTCAAAAGAAACTGCTGTTAAAAAGCCCCAGTAACCTAAAATTAAGATAGACATTCTCACTCAGCAAGTAGAACCTGTAACTAGAGGGCCAGAAGAGCCCAAGGGGAGTCCTGAAGAGATGCAGAGCCATGGTATCTGACGCTGAAATAGTAACAACTAATTTCAACTACACTGTTCCAACCATATTCCAGATGATAAAGACATTCTCCCATTACCACAGTACTTAAAAAACATTTCTAAAAAGGCATGTTCTATGACACTTAAAAACACTCAAAAAAACCCAGAAAAAACTCACAAATACTGCTTTAGGAAATATACTTCCTTCTAATAAAACTGAACACACCCTAAAGAGGAAATATTAATTCTTCTAATTTCTCTTGTTTCATAACATTAATATTCATGCCTTTGAATTTAGAGCATCTTAGGGTGCAAATAATCACCATCTTGTTTGGCCCTGAAGGCACACACTAATTACTTCAGTAATACCATGTTTCTGCACATTTTAGCAGCAAATCCATTTCCAGTTTTCACAGAGATCAAAACCTCTCAAACCACCAGGTCAGTAGATATTTGTAGAGTTCTGCAGTTTCTCTTTCTTCATGTCCTGCCTGGTCTGACCACCTGGTCACAGATATTATAAAGTATATATAAAGTTATATATACTTTATACATTTATACATGCATATACAGATATGCACGTATACATTATATATACGTGCATATCTGTAATTACTTATAGAGATTATAAATTAGCATTAGGAAAAACCCCATCCTTGTCATCCAGTTGCTTTTAATATTTATTGAAAAGACTCATTTTTATCAGTTATTCCCACTCTCTACAAATAATGAAGAATATACAAATATATTCTTCAGTGTGGCTGAAGAACTGATATTCAGAGAACAGTTATAGGTTATAGGTTTGAGGGCTATGGCATGATAATGATAGCTTGAAATATGATTAATATTGAAAATAATAGAAGAAAATTAGTCATAACCATGCAGAACACCACAGCTATGGAAACAGAAGGGGGCTGAAAACCAGAGAGAGTGGGAGATCTCAAGTCTATGGAAGATCTTCCCATTGCATTTTCACTTTTGAAGCTTTACTGATGTTTTCTATATGGTTACATCCATAGTGCCTTCATCTCCACCACCCCTAGTAGATCTCTCAGTGTGTCTGAAGTCCAAAAGGCAAACAATTTTTGCTCTTCTTAAAATTATAGAACAAACAATAATACTGAAAGCTCTGGATTTAAATCTCCAAATCAAATAAACTGGCTAGTGCACTAAAATCCATCTCCAAAAGTCCTACTACATAAAATTAGTGTATAAATAATAGAAAATGAACAGCCTCCACCTTAAAAAGTCCTATCCTCCAATGGTGTGACTCCCAAGCAATTTCACCAGTCCTAGCACACACTGGAGATGTCTTCAGAGTGCCACAGTCCCTGTGAAACACTCACCTTCTTTGGTCTTTGTGCCAGCTGCTACTGTGTCCCTGTCCAAGGCTGTTGAAGCACCTTGTTCTTGTCCTGGTCCTTCTGTGCCCTTCTCCTTTGGTTTGCTCTCTGCTTCACTTTTCTTTTTGGTAATGTTCATAACCCCTGGGGTGAGAGGTGGGCGCTGGATGGGTGCTGGTTTAGAGACTGGAGAAGGAGATGGTGGCCTTTGTTTTGACATGCTGGGTGAAGGTGGACGAGTCTTTTGCCTGTTGAAATGAAAAGTGTTTTTTAGGGATAACTCTGAAAACCTCAAACACACAGCTCAGGACAGCAGCCTGATTTTGTTACATTTACATTATGTATCTTGCTTTTAAAAATAAATGCACACACAAACTACTGGTGCCTTCCTCAGAAAACTCCAGTACAGCTGACGACAAAGGGAAGCTTTGTGGAACAGCCTTGAAGAGCTACAGGAGTAACAAGAACTGAGCTAAGAGGGATCTCACTTGCATACCTTAATAACCATTCATCTCCTGAAGAGGAATCTTGAGAGGTAACAAAGGAAACACTGTACCCCAAGGCAGGAGGTCAGCAGAACTGAACAGAAAGTAAGGAGGGCAGGGGGAGGTCGAGACCTCCAACCCAAGAAGTGCCCACTCCCCAAAGAAGACAACCCCTCACTGAACAAGTGCCAAGACTGAAAAGGCCACTTGCCTTTAAACACAAGTGGGGAGTAAAATTAACCAGTGAGACTAGTAGTGGTAAGATGCTAACCAGTAAGTGGTGGATCTTGATGCTTGCTAAGCAGGATAAGTATGCCAGAGCTTGTGGCTGGAGCTGTGCTAGCTTTGTGGATTTATCACCTAGCACCCCTTTCTGCACAGAACTGGAATAAAGAAATACCTCTAGTCTATGTGTAGATCGGATTATTGTACACCAGGTAAATGGACCCTGCTTTAGGACACATGGGATTCCAAAACACCCTGAGGCACCTAGACATGCTACTTATGGGCTACCATCAAAACAGGTCTGCTAGCCCATACCTCCATTTACTCCACATCAAGGATAAACCCTGTGATTTCAATCCAAGAAGCTTCCTACAAAAATACAGGCAGATCAACTTATTGAGACAATTCCGTGGTCCCTGCTGGTTTCAGTGCACAGACTGTACAGAAACCCAGGGTGTATTTTGTCTGCACAAAAGAGATGAAGGTTCAGGTGAGGGCTGCATCCCTACTATGGAAAAGAGAAACTAGCTCAAAAATGAAGTGTATGAACATGGCAGAGTAGGTCTCCCAAATGGTAACAGCACAGCTGCTGAGGCAGGAAGCAGCCTCCAGTGTCTTCTGACTAGGAGGTATTTTACCTGGCCACGCACCTGACTGCAGAAGGTGAGGGAGGACCTTTCCCCAGGTGAGCAGGAGAAGGGGATCTTCTCTGGGCAGACACAGATGGAGAGGGAGGGCGTCTTAAACCAGAGCCTGGTGATGGCTTTTCTGTTTCTGATTTCTAAGAAGATGAATAAAAACAAAATAATGCTCACTCTCTAGAATACCTTACAGAGGAGCTGCTACCACAGCAAACACAAAACTTCTCAACAAGATGTGCTTTACATTTCCTTTATGTTCCAAAACACAGACCCAGTCAGTACGTAGCTTAAACTCTGGGAGCCATAAGCAGCACACAACTTGCCTTTCACACACCAGATAGAGCAAGGAGGACAACATTTGATTTCAGTGCTGTGTTTTCAAAGCAAACACTAACAGTTCACTAAGCAAGTTGAAACAGGATCCCGTCCTGAGCTGATCCAACCTCCCTTCCCCCCCTAATTAATACAAACCTAATTGCTGTGGATCTTCAACAAACCTGGGTTGAATCTGGTGAACTTGCATCAGATGAAGACAGAGAGGACTTCAATCTGTCGATGCTACGACTGCGCACGGGCACCTTGGGAGCTGGGGCTGGGGAAGTGATGGAACTGGCTGAAGCTGAACGAGGACAGAGGTGAGATTCTATAAAGGTTAGGAATTTGACAAGACAAAACGAGAACCAAGTGCACAGCATAAGAACAGGAGAAAAAGGGGGAGAAAAGAGAGAAAGAAAAGATGGTGTGTGTTAGAAACCGTACAGAGAAGCACCACAGGGAGTGCACATTGCAATGGGCCACGGACACAGACACCACCACACGATTAGTACTTTGGAAGCAACAGCACCAGGAATGATACCATTTTGAAAGCAGCATTCTGGAGTAGATAAAAATAAAATGCTTTTCCAAACATCTAGATTTGCAACACACCAGTGTTACTTCAGTTCTAGTCAAGCTGCATCTGGTCACAAATACTTCATTTTTAATGGCTCAATATCTTTCAAGTTCTCTGCAACAGATTCAGATTTCAAGCATGACTCCCCCTGCTCAAGGAGAGAATCATCCTTCTTTTCAAAGAGCATTATATTATATTATATTAGAAATCTGAGCCTTACTTTACATACTGCTCTTGTGAACTAAGCATTAGTGCAGCAATATTTTATTCTACTTTCCCTCTCTACCCCTTTATTACTATTATGTCTGTGTCCTTTGTCCACATTAACAAACCAAAACAGATGGTGTAAAAAAAAACATTCAAGACAAAAAATTCAGCTGTTAAACTAAAATACCCTTCCTACCTGAAGTGTCAGTGTCTTCACACACAGGATATTGAAAGAAATTGTATCCTCTTTTTTTCACTAACATAATCATAGATGGATAAGCATAAATAGATGTAAATACCTACTTCTAAAACTACATACTGGATTTCTCTAGTCTGGATAAATTGTGACAGATGCCAGCACTTAATTTTCTAACTTTATGGAAAATACATTTTATTTTTATATTTACAGCATTTGTGCAAGGAGAACTGCATTCTGTTTCTGCACAGTTTGTGCTAAAGCAAAGGTACATTTCCACTGAAATGAAGAAAGCACCTTTAAGTAAAATGATATAAAAAATGTAAAAGTTCTCTTCAGTTCAGCAACAGTGAATAAGTCACATGCTGTCAGTAACAGTGAAAAAGATGGTATTTCCCCACATGACATGAACAGAAATATTCATGGTAAAATAAAAAGTGGCACATGGATGGGTATGCAAAAATATGACCACTGACTACAAACCAAAAATGTAAAAACTGATTATTACACAAGGGGAGCAGTGCAGAAATGTCACCATCACCAACAAGGACCAAGTCAAGTGGCATAAGATAAAAAAACAAAGATGGAAGAACATACTTAGGAGGAAAGGAGCACAACTAGGAATGCAAGTTGTAAGGTATGAGAGAAGAAGGACTCCCCATTGGTTCCAGAGATGCATTTACTGGGGCATTCTTATAACCAGTAACAATTACCAGACTTGTGGGCTGCCCCCAAGGTTCGCCCACGATGCAGAGATCTCTGCAGTGGAACTCAGTGGAGCCACAGTGTGAGTCTATCAGCTCAGTGTGGATCAATGTGAGATTGCCTGAGCCAGCCAGGGTTTCTCTACATTATCTCCTCCTCCTAGTATGCCTCTGCTTCTACCATCTGAGTGAAGCCAGCTCAGGGCTCCCTGCACTTCATGTGAAGTTGACACTTTTGCCACGTTCTTTCCCCTATATAAATTTAGGGCTTGCACTTAATTCTTTTCAGCCTCCTTTGAAATGATACTTGTTTAGGGTTTTTCTCTTTCATTTCCTAACACTGTTCTCTGACCAGTGTGTCTCAGCTTAATCTGAGGATACACCCAAATGCAGGTCTCTGCCAGTTAGAACAAAAACACAAACAAACCCCAAAACTAACACCAGCATCTGGTTCTCTGCAGAGCAAGTAACTGGCACAGGAGTTTATTCTATGGCCAGCATTATTCTATGGTTTGTCAAGTAATCATGCAACACAGCATATAAATCGGTTATTACTGACCAAAGAAAGAACAGGGTAACTAATATTATACGTAACCATATATTAACTGATTCACAGTTAAGTGTAGCACAGTTAGAAACTATCACATAAGTTACTGCTTGAAGAGCAACTGCATAAACCTTCCAGGTTTACTGCCCTCCTGTTACCTGAGGGATCTTGTCCATCAGCCGACAATGCAGCAGCACTTTTACTCCTAGCTAAGGAGGCCTGTGTGGGGGCCAGGAGGCGGCTGATGATGCTACTGTCCAGGGGACTGAGCTGGGGGCGACGAGCTAAATGATGGGAACAAACCAAAAAGGATCCAAGATGAAAACACACCATGAAAAAGACAAGCAGTACAAAGCAAAGGCAGTTTGCGAGCATTGTTGGGAATCGTCACCGTTGGGGAGGAAAAACACAGAAGTCATGGAGGGGGAAATCCAAAGTAGAGCAGAAGAGTTAACGATGGCCACCTCTCATGTTGCATCTGTTGTCCTTGGCTTAATGCTAACAATTCTAATGCACACAGCAGAGATGGGTGCTGGAGTTAGTCACAGCAGGAAAAGGTTTTGGCCCAGCTCTTCAGAGCAGCATTCTGTAAACTGCAGGAAAGGCTGTTTTGGATACAGTGGACACAGGACTTGGAAGTCAAAGCAAACAGTTTGTGTCAGGCATCAGTTGCACACACAAATTCACATGGACAGCATCCATCACCCTCCCATCCAGGAAAGATTCTGGTGCACAGTATCATTTCACCTGCTGGCAATAGCTGCTAAAAAGGGAAGTTTGAGAACTGTTAACTCGAAGGGAAAAACGTGTGAGAAAAGTTGCTAGTCTTCAGCTTTAGGAAGAGCTCCTAGAAAAGAGGTGTTTGTAACTTAGTGGGGAATACACAGACCCAAAGAGGCTGAGGTGAGAACAGGTTTCCTCCTTCAGTTGCATGCACAAAGTTTAGGTGAGCAGCAGGAACAGAGAAGTTGCTTTTGAACTGAATAACGAAAGAGAGCTTAAAAAGCAAAGGTAAACTTTAACTAAAAAGTGAACATATCAGTGACATTCTTACTCTATCTTACATTTAAACCTACCAGCTTTCAAGTAAGTCTCTCTCTTCAGCTGAGAGACATTTTGATATCTACTTACAGTGCTATTTAACAAAGTCAAAGTCCTTCTTACATCATTTGATTTTTGTCCAAAGGCAGAAATTTAATCTTTACCATTTACAGTTTTATCTTTACCACTGGATAACTAAAAAGTCATTAAAAAGTCCTAAAAATTTAAGAACCAAGGAAACTAGTGAAAGGAAGCCTATACAAACTTTACTCTAAGTGGCTTTAAAAAGAAATATTCAGCTTTATGAAACAACCACCTGTTTTTTCTTCCTTTTTCACTTTTTCTAGTTCTGGAGAGGACTGGGGTTTACTACTCATTCTACTCAAAGATGTGCTCCTCTTCTTTTCTGTTCCTCCTAGAGACCAAGCGTAAGGAAGATTATTTTTAACAAAGTATTTATATGTGTAAGTTTCTAAACTGCCATTCCCATGCTTTGATTTGCCACAAAATCAGCTTAAAACAGCAATCTATCATTATGAAGCACTGTTTTCTCATTGAGAGAAATGGTTTGGCTACAATTTGTCTACTCTTCCCCCCCCCTTCCACTTTTCAGAGGAATAAGGTTGGTTTGTGACACAGTTACCCAATACCTGGGTAATGATATTTATGAATAATGATATTTATGTCATAGTGCACAGACCACATGCACAGCAGGGGAAGCCTGAGTAAAAGCATTTACAATGGAACTGGGACATGGCTTAAAGTCAACTTCAAATACCCCATTTACTGCCTCCCACTTCTCAAACCAACTGGTTTCTAGCACCTTTCTGTTCCGCCTGCGAACCTTTGAGTCCTGACTGCTGGGAATGTGGAGGAACTTTGTTATTCAGCCTGTTTAATGAGGCACTTCTCTTTGTGGTACCTGGAAGTGAAAGCGCACGGATTAATGATGTGGAAAAGCCCAGAAGTCCCCTCCAACACCTGCCCCACTTCCCTAACATATGAAAGAGTAATTAAGTCACTTTATATGAAGCCTTCAGAAGCAGGAAAACTGGATCAGGGGAGAATTACTCTGTATGAAGCATTATTTCTTACATTCCTGCATGTTACTGATGATAGCAGCAGGATGCCAGTTTTGACAGACTTGTTTGACCTAGTGAGGCCATAATCCATAATTTTGCAAGGCCATTGCTCATGTTCTATATCTGTCAGAGTGAACTCAGAACTGACACAGAACACAGCTGATCTAATACTCCACTGATCCAGAGACAAGCATCTCCCTCTCATTTCCACATCCTGCTCCTCCACCTTCCCAGGCACACATACACACAGCAGAAGCAATCTGGTTAATTCTGTGACTGCATTTTCTGTCCTCTGAACCAAGCCATCTTTTACCAAACAGCCATTTCTTCTGGGGTGCCAGGTGAAGAGCACAGAATCACTCTTTAACCTGCTGCAGTGATCTAAGCCAGGCACTTAGTTGACCTCTGCATCCTGACCACATGGATCAGCTGGGAGTCCTGTCCCAATTTTCAAGGCCACCAAGAATTTTTCCTCCAAAGACAATAAGGATTCACAAAGGATTTCAAGGTATGCCAGTAAGTTTGAAAGCAATCCCAGTTAGTTGATCACTAGTGACTTCCTTTGTTAGCAGCTTAATTTGTGCTTTACAGGCCTGTTTCTGACTCACTGCCAGAGCTGAACCCTGCAGACACGTTTATATATAAATATCATTTTAAATCACAAGCAGCCTCCAGTGACTCAGAGCCCCTGCAGCTCTGCCAGGGTAGATCTATTCACTGGTTCCCTAAAAGGCACACAGTATATGACTACAAGCTCTTTGCCTTCCAACATGAACCAGCAGAATCAGCATTAGATGTGTCCACCTTGGAGATTCTTCTAGCAAAGCTCCTCTGATCAAAGGCTGCAGACTGACAGAGCACTGCAGCACAGGCCCAAGTTGAACTTGGTTTTGTATTAAACAATTCTTAGCTTATTATTAATGCTTTTCATCATTTTGGGAAAAAAAACCCCACACTTTTAGGATACAGGCAGCATGCCACAAAACACTGGGAAGACTCCTCACCAGGAAATCCCAGACTAAACGAGGCTGCCCACACAAATTGTTTTTACTATTCTGAAGCAGAGAATTAGAACAATTCCTTGAGTTTCATAATTTGTTTTTTTGCTATTTGTAGTAGGCAAACTGTCATCATGTACAGAATATATCGAGATGGGGCAGAGGGGAGACTCGGATGTGCAGGTTTACCAGAGAGTGGGAAAACCAGGGAGGTATCTCAGTCTCTACATCCCTGTTCAGACCAGTGGCATGGTGCACATTTTAAACATGACATGGGGCAGTCAGGAGCTTCATCCACCCCGAAGCTGCAATTCAAAATGAGACTGGAAGCCACAGAAATTGGTGTATGATAAAAAAAAAAAAAAAAAGCTGGCTTCCAGGCCTTACCTATTCCTTGGTAGTCATTGGCACAGTAAGTAACCCAGAAAGCTTGCAAGCAGTGGTATGCACTAACAGTTTAGGAAATGCATACTTTGAGTATCAGTATCAAGGTTACACTTATTTATTAGGCTAGGAAACTGTGTCAGAGCTGCACATGTAGGCTGTGATCATGCTAGAGCTCCAGGTCAAAACAAAATATCCCCTCCCACCCAAAAAACTCCTACAAGTGTCAAGGTTTTTCATGCATTCTTCTCTGCTTAAAGCAGAATTCCAATATTAATAAATGTGTGTCTATAGAATCCAGGACTGGCACAACAGAAGGATGTCAAAACTAAGTTGATTTTTTCTCTCCCTCAGGCAATCCAATGACTGAAGCTGACCAACATAATCAGGCAAACTTTCTTTTTGTGCTATTTCTACTGTGCTGGAATTTGAGGGTGTGATTTAAAGGCATGCAAACCCGCACAGATGTGACATGATCTGTGATTCAATCACTCACCAAGATTCGAGTTTTTAGTAAAACAATTACAGAAGTAAGAAAGTAGAAAACCAGCCATTTTTACCGTCACTCTTCTCCTCTAACAGAGATCACATCACCTGGGCCAAAGCCCTGAAGGCTCAAGCTGGATTAACAAACTGCATGAAATGCATTTGAGATCAAAGCATGAGGTGAGTTCCACAGCAAGGGAGGAGGAGGAGGAGGGTGGTTCCACCTCCTGGCTCCTCCCCAGACAGCAGGGAAGCAGCACACCCGCTGCCACCAGGCACACTTACTTCGGTCAGAAGCATTTAGAAGTGCAGCAGATGATGAGAGACGTTTGCTCATGGCAGCTTCTGCCTGTCTGAGGTTGGCTGGGGAGGGGGGCTGCTTGCTGGCTGTGTGGAGAAGCACTTAATTTAGAACTCATCTTCAGACCTGAGGATGAACCTTTAACATGTTGCTGTGAGATGACTCTGGAAGTATCACATCCTGAAAGCTATTTCCAGTTTTGCTTCATGAGAAACAGGAATTTATTTACTTTTTTCCCTTTGAACTGACTTGGTACAATTAGCACAGAAAAGGCATTTAATTCAGAGGAGTCATGCCAAGATTTTATGCATATGTATGCAAACTAGTGATTTTTAAACCTTGTGCTCCAAGCAAGGAAAGACTTGCTACTGAGGTTGTGTGTTGTTACCAGACAGGTAAGACAGAGATAGTAACAACAAAACCTGAAAAACAGTAATTCCTTTCTTTGTTCCTTCCACACAGGTGTGGTCAAAAGAACTTTTCAATCATTAGCTAACAAAAACAAAACAAAATGCTTTTGAAAGGGATAAAAGCAAGTTCTAAGGAAAATCCAGAAAGCATTCCTAATTTCTGATTGCTCCTCAAAGGTTGCTGTAACTACTTTAGAAATTTCCAGTGTTTCTCTAAAAGCATGTTTCCTATCAATTTTGCAATTCTTTTGAAAAATAATTGCCATGAGAGGCATTATTTTTTTCTATGTGTATACACACAGACACATGTACACACACACACACAAAAATCACATCTCACATGGCAAAATTTTAAGTTTAATAGAGAAATACCCACTTTAATTACAAATAGTGTGCTTTCAGGATGAATACTACTCCAGAGTGTGGAAGCCTTGAGAAAGCATGGACCTGTTGCTATGGGAAGTCAGTAAGCAGAAAACAGTAATGCACACAAAGTAGTGTGGACAAGTACAACAAACACAAGAAATTCCATACATCAAATGCAAATAATCCATTTTGCTGGCACACTGGACAGCAAAGATGATTAATGTGAACTCATTAGTGCAGAAGCACCAAATAAAAAAAAAGCACAACTCACCACAGAGGCAGCATCTTTTCCATTTGGCCAGCATTCTATAGAGCAGCTCCTTATAGCAAAAGCCAGGAGATGAAGATTCCCTATGGACAGCCCTGCCTCTGCATTATAGCTTTGCCATGGGTCCCCAACCCAGGCTTCCTCAGCTAGGGGCCTCCTGCAAAACCATGGCAAGTGAAAAACAGATTTTGGAGCCGAAACTACCAAAGTGACAAGTTCTTGTCACACTGAGCAAGAACCAAGTCCCCATGGGGTAAGAGGGAGAGAGGGGAATCTACTCAATCTAGTTAAGAAGTGAGGAGCTGAGCTTAGCAATTACACTTGCCCAACATAACCAAAAAGGAGGCATTTCATGAATGATGAGTACTGTGACAACCGAAACAGCCTTGAGAGGCTTTATATGAAAATCAGGAAACTCACAACTCATCTATTTGGGTGTTTTCAAAGGCCAAGGCTACCCTCTAGTGTCTGCTCCTCAGAAGGAAGCCTGGCTCCTGACAGCTCGAGTGAGGCCAAAGCCTCCTTATACTGTGCAGATGCTTCAATTAAAATTTCTCTGGGTTCAAATTAGGACTTAAGCACTTGCATGAAATTTGAGATTTCCATCACGTATTGAGGCCCAGAAGGCAAACAATTAAATCTTGCCTTGAGAAAAATTACACTGAGCAAAGCAATTATTTTCCAGCAAGTTTCCAAGTTCTGGAGAGGTTCAGTGAAGAGACAAGGAATGAAATGTCTACCGGAAGACTCAAGAGAAAGAAGTACAGGCTAAACATGCCTGTTCAGGCAAAAAAACCAACATCTACCTTCGGTGTCTGTTTCTCTGGGGAACAGAGAGCAGTGATGAAGGCATGAGCTAACATCTCAACTGATGCCTTGACAGAAAAAATCCAACTGGTAAAGGGCATTCCTACAGATGTAGGAGTTTTCTTTTTCCAGAAAATGTCATTTGCCATGACTTGCCTAAGATCTTAAGAATTTAATGCTTATTTGAAAATATATGATCAGATGGCCTCAACTTTTTCCCTACCTCACCCACAGGACAGCTTCTGCAAACTTTAAAGCTCTGGATATTTCACTAGGAAAAAAGCTTTCAGGATATTCCTGAGTAAGTTAGTCTGGTTATTTAGGTATTTAGAAAATATCTTTTGAAAAAATACCTCAAGTATCTTTTTTATTTTGGGGGGGAAATTTAGAATACTTACATCAAGGGATTTGAAATGGAAGAAGAATACAGCAGAAACCCCATATGATACCAAACATCTGTACTTTTCTAATGGAAGGGGGAGAGCAAACTGTAGCAGCAAAGCCAAAGGAAGCACATGACTGCCATGCAGCAAGGCTTGCAATTGTGTTAGGAACTGGGAAACAGCACCTTGAGAAAATCACTGGGAGAGAACAGCTCTCAGTCCTAGCTTCTCACCAAGTTTCACTGAGAGAGGGTGCTGCAGCACTGCCTATCTGAGGTTGGATAAAAGTAGGCTGAATAAAATAATCCCTCTCTCACTTCCTTCCTAATTTCTACTAGGACAAGGAAGCTCTTTATTTAGACAGGATAGACTCTGGCAGCCCAGTTTCTATCCTAACAGTCAGGCCCCACTACAGATGCACCTGAATGTCTAGTTTTGCTTAGCAGTCACCACTGAACCTCTCTCATCTACAAGGACACTGTCATCAAGGATGCTTTATTACCCAGCCTTGCCATGACTCTTGGCAGACCCACACCCTGCATGTTCCAGCACTTAGAGCAATGTCAGTAATGCAGCACTTGACCCTGGGCCTTTCATCAGTTTTTACAATTCAGGCCATCAGCAGGATACTTGGTGCAGTCTCCATGGATCCTGTTCTGTACATTACTATGTAGAAGGGCTGATGGTTGTGAAATGTTCCATTATATGGGGTTTAATCTCCAGAGCACCCTACCCCTGTCACCCACAAATGCTGCTTTGCCAGCCAAGGTTTCTTACTGTTGACATGAAGAACATGTCTGGGTGTTTTTGTAGAACACATCTATGCTTTTTTGCACAGCAATACAATGAACAAGAAAGCCTTTGGTCCCAAAATAATGTAAAGAATATTTGAAATCAGTTCCCCCAATGGTTTTCATTTTAAGAAATGGAGCCTTTCATCCCAAATCTGCCACAGAAACTGATGGTGGAAAAATAATCTTGTACTGAAACTTGCTCTAGGTGTGATGTTAAAGACTAGATGGGCTACTCAGCCACAATGATATAATGTGGTAGAGTTCATACGGTGTCATCTTGCAGAGTAAAAAAAGAAGTTAATTGCTGTCTTTCCAGCAGTTACACAGGATGAGAGGAACTAAATACGGATTTATTTAGAAAGCCAGCTGGACTTAGGCACCCCACATGGTTTGAGTGGATTTTAAATAACAAGTGAGGAGCTCCCAGAAAGACAAAAAGCTAAGAATGATCCTGAAATGGAAATAAATGTGAGCAGCATAAATCCAATCATGATTCCACACAGTCCACCACAGGTAAGACAGTTTTATGTTTAAATTCTCAACATCAAATCAAACACAAATTTCAAACAGTGGGGTTGCACAAGTGTCTTAGTCACTGCATTATCTGTTTATCTCCATAGGCAATTTGTAAAAAATTTGTTCTAAGTTATCCAAATTGAAGTTATCTGCTCCTCATCCTCTTACTTTATGATGCACAAGGTACAGCTTAAGCATCTATTTTTACATCAAGAGCATGTTTGTTGGAAGGCACTTTATTTTTAATGTGCTTCAGCAGCACTGAAGTTCTTCCTCCATGATCAAAAGTACAGACAGGACTAATTTCCTCACATAAATTAGGAAAGAGCAAAGAACATGATTTTATGTTCATTATGAAGTTCAGCTTTAAAATGAGATAAGGTAGAACATCATAGAATGGTGAAGGTTGGAAGGGATCTTAAAGATCATCAGGTTCCAACCTTCCTGCTATGAGCCTCCCACTAGACCAGGCTGCACAAAACCTCATCCAACCTGAACCTGAACATCTCCAGGGAAGAATGGAAGAGGAAAAAAAATAGTGCATTTCTAACCATATAACGCAAATGTGATTTCCTAGTTTCAAGGTTAAATGACATTTGGTAATGTGGAATCCAGTAATTGGATTTATATATGTATCCAAAAACACATGTTAAACAGGTAAACCAATCCAGTAAAACTGACTCATTTTGGAGAAAATAAGGGATTCAGGCTGTGCAGAGAAAGGGAAAAGTTAAATAAAATACACATGCCAGAATAAGCCACAGTAGTTCAATCATACTGGGTCAGACTTTCATTGCAAGTTCAAGTCTCATGCTGTCAGCATCAGGAGGCAGCTGCACTGCATTAGCAATGCTGGGAGCATGCACAGATTTGCACAGCTCAGATTGAGCTGGGCCTCAGCTGATAGCAATCATCTTGAACTAGCTACAAGAAACCATTTTGCTTATTAATCACAGCCTGGACAATATATCAATGATCCAAATTTCTATGACTGGGTCTGTACCCTGGAAAGTGCCAGAAATTCAATTAAAATACATTTATTATATAGATTCCTGTTTAGGTAATTGGACAAATATGATTCTGCTAAACCCTTCATGGCAAAAGTATCAAACTGCACAAAGGGCCCATTCCCTTGCACAGAGTTTCAGCAAAATATCATTTGATTTTGCAAATGCTACTTTAACTGGTGGTAAAAACCAAAGCCACAAGAAAACAATTCAAGCCCTACCATGTACTTTGTGCAAATCAGGTAACAATGAAAGGGTTCAAAATTGCCCTTAAAGAATAATAATAATAAAAAAGCTTAGACTACTTCAGCAATTTATATTCAAAGCCATGCCACTAAGAATGTCTCTTCTCCTCCCCCATACTGTATCCAGTCCTCTTTAAAAACCCTAATGCACACACATCCTTCCCCTGAAAATTCCCTCAGGATACCATGACTTAAGCTGTAGTTTAATTAGCTGGGAGGGATAGTTAAAAACACAGGGGCCTGCTTTCTACTTAGGGATCACATTTGTTGCACAGCTGGCCAAAATCCAGGAAAAGATCTGTAAGAAGCTGGTTTTCCTTAGTTTCAGAGAAACAAGAACTCAAGTTTAAAAGGTTAGTAGTGAGTGTAACACAACAGAAAAAGAACAGTTTAGAAATCAATACCACCAGTTCCACCTTCATCTGCAGGCTGTTGCTCTGTAGGAGAAGAAGGTTTTTAAGCTAAGTCACAAGGTTAAATGGCAAAGAATGCAAGTTAACTAAAACTGGGGAAGCTGGATATCAGAAGGGTAACTTACACCAAAGCAGTATGGAGCATGTTATAAATAAACACTTAGAAGTCAACACTGCAGCTGACACTGTACTAACAAACATACTCAGTAGAATACCACCAATTCATAAGATAGGCTGAATTGAGGCATTTTTTTGTTTTATTTTATTCCTGGACAGTAACTTACATAAAGTTACTTATTGGTGGAAATAAGGAACTGCAATCCTCGCTTGCTGATTTCAGAACATTTACAAACAGAAACAGTTAATTGTGTGAAACAGGAAACAATCTGAGCTCAAATTAAAGAATGTTAAAATGCATCACCTAATTTAGAATAAAACCTATTCTCAGGAACGCTTGGACACTGCCCACTGACTCTCCTTACCTGGTGATCCTTCAAATAGGCAGTTAGCATTCTGTTACTCTAAGGGTGTGTTTAAAATATTTTAGATGTAATATCACAGTACAGCTGGTTTTTGTTGTTGTTCTGTTTATCACCAGTCTCAGCACAGCATTACATATACTGAGGGACTCAGGATTATTTTAACATCATATGTTACAATTCCCCTTATCTGATGCGTGGGGGCTGGCAATGCAAAGCTGCCAGGTGTTGTATTTCCCATGTGGCTTCTCTCCAGCTCTTCCCAAAGTCAAAAATAGCTCTAAGTGTAGCTCTAAGTGTGAGCAGCATTTCAGGGCAAGTACAGATATGATCCTTTCTCCAGGAGCTGCCCACAGATTCAGTTGTGAGATCCAAGACAGGAGAGGATGCCCAGGTCCCTGTGAACAGTGCTGCACCTGCCTGTGTTCACACAGGTATTATGTGACTTCAGCCAGGCTAGAAAAGGGGATTCTTACCTGTTTTGCTCTCTGAATCTGGAGTTACAGACCCTCCCCATGACCATCTCTTCTGCCGTGTTTCCAGCCGCTGGCTCCGTTCCAGGGTCCGGTGCAGAACGCCTCCCTCCCCCCCCTGCCAGTAAACAACACCTCTGTGAAGCTCACAACTACAGAGCACTGCTGTGCCAGAAGACAAAACACAGGTATTTTTTTCCCCTGGTATGATTTCAAATCTCCTTTAGCTATACTGCCTAATAACAAGCCTTAGTTACAAAAACTATGATGCAAAGAATGTTAAGGGCAATTAATGGTTTCAAACCACCACAAAGATGATCAGATGAGCTAAAGCACAGATAATCTATTCTACTCTTTACTTAAAATAGCCACCAAACAGATTTCCTACTCAGTAAACAGCACCACTTATTTTCTAAATAGGAATGACCCCCAAACTAAGCAAAAAAAATTGTTTACCCTTTATTTATATTCTGAAGTTATTTATAAAAGGTGATAAAAATTCTCTATTATAAAATACCAAGTATAACGTTATTTGTATTTTCCTCTTCAAACACTGACCCAAGTCCTAACAGATCCTGGCAGTAATACAGACATAAAGATGAACTGTAACCATGTTTCCATACATGTGTCAGCAGAAGATTTCTCTTCTGGAATAGTCACATCCCAAGTGATCTTCTGCAGTGATATTTACTGCTGATGCACTGCAGTAAGATGCCAAGGGGACTCATAATCCCAAATTTTCTCTCTCTTGAGGACACAAGACTTACCTTCTTTCAACACCATTTCACAACACAAACTAAAAAGGTTGCAGTGAATAACAGACAAAGTAAACTTGCAGGAAAGGGAGGAAGGATTCTGTTCCCTGGCAAAAGATAAATTTAAAGAGTTTCTGTTTGAAAGATAAAGCTTAGCTTTCCCCCTGTTAAAGAAACCTGAACTAGAGTTTACCTAAGGTGCCAAAGTACCCAGACATGATGCAATCTCTAGATCACATTTCCATGGAGGTATCTGCAGTGCAGTAATTCTTCAAAGTCACAGTTAAAGACATTGGCTCCATTTTATAAACAGCAAAAATCAGTTCTTGAGACATCAACATAGCACAGCTGTACAGAGTAACTGAGTAACTGTGAGAAGACAAGCATCTCAATCCTAGCCATGGCTACTTGTCCTCAAGACTCTCTTAGGCAGGGAACCACTTCTTTTTCCACAGTATTTCTTCTTGTGCTGCTGTTTCTTCTCTTATCTATGGAAGACGATTACGAGACTGGGCTGAATTATCAAACATGAATGTTGGAGACTATGTATTTTTTAATGCACTTCTATCTACTAAATTTACAGTTGTAGATGGCAAATATTGCCCTAAGATAGATTAGCTTCTTTAAAAGTTATTATTTTCTAATGCCAGAGTAGCAAAGCCAAAACCTGTTCTCACTTTCTGGTTGAAAGCAAAGTTTACAGGTCAAGTGCACACTATTTTCACACCTGCCAAATTCTTCATGTATAACTCTCTAGGCACAAGGTCATCTTCTTCCATGGACCAAGTAAAAGACAAGGTTAACACCAATCAAACATCAGCCAGTCCTTGTCTTCCTTGATTAGTCACCTCACTGACCACTTAAAACACATCCACCATCCTCAAAATGACTGTAGGCTTAGGGGTGGCAGCTCCTGAAGCACAAGGGATGCTTTTTGCTTAAAGAGATGATTCTGCACTACCGTCAAGGCCCACCCAAATATTTCTGCTTGTTCTCCAGCAATGCCAACTATTCCATGAAGTTCAAATGGAATATCAATCTGAACACACCCAGAAGCTGGTTACAGAAAACCACACACCAGAGTAGAATACTGCCAGTCAAAAAGGGTAAAAAAAAAATGTACTGCTAGAACAATGGAACAATGACTGACTCCAAAGGAACAGCACAGGCTCTTCATCCTCTACCCACAAGCAAGTTCTTACAACCAGTTCATGAAAGCACGTGTGCTTTACTGCTGACTCCCAGGAATGGACCCTTCCAGAACTTGCATCACATTTATCATGCACTAGCTGACCTGCTCCTCAAAAGGGATGGCATAACTTGATGTGTTTATTTCTACTTCCAGCTTCTATCAATTTGCAACTCAAATACTGCTCTGCTGGTCCATGTGCAGTCAAAGCCAAGGCAGATGAGAGTTAAGTAGGAACAGTCCATACGCAGATCAAAGCAGCAAAGGGTACGTACACAGACAACATCATCAACTCTTCACCAGAGAGCCACAAACTGTCATCCAGAGGAACTGAAAGAATGTCAGCCTCTCAAACAAGACACAGATTTAAGACCTGTCACCCATGCTGAGTTAAAAACAGAACCGGAGAAGTGCACTGAAAGGAATCTCGAAATCCAAGAATATGGGGTGAGGTTTTTGCTCCTGTGAAAAAAAACCACTGCAGGCACAGCTCCTGAAGTCCTGAGTGCCTTGGAGTAGCTGAAGTTAGGCCTGGGATGAGGAAGGAGGACATGTGCCTATATACACAGCCCAAGGTACAGGTATGGAGAATATTTTTATGTTCTAAGAAACTTACCATTTCCATAATTTTCTACTTCACACCACTTCAGAGCATGGTAATGTAGAAAAAGAAAGTAGGAGTTTTAAAAAAACTATAGAACACACAGTACCTTTTCCTCCTCTATTTTTTGTTTTCTCTTTTCTTCTACTGCTGCCCTCCGTTGTTCCTCTCTCTGCTTCTGTTCTTTTAGCTTTCTCTGCCTTTCTTCTAACTGTTTTTCATACTGGAGTTTTGCTTTTCTCTCCTTTTCGAGGATTTGTGTCTCTTTGGCAGCTGTAAATTTTTAAGAAAAAAATTAAAATACAGCTTAACTACTCATTGATATTGCAACACAACTTACAGGCAAGAGACTACCAGGCAAAATTATCACCACTTAGAGCTCAAACATGCGGCAAGATAAGCTTGCAGACCTGGGTGACACTGCACATGATGACACAGGAGTCTTTAATTCTGTCCCCAGGTTAGGCTGGAATTAGAACCTTTCCTGCCATTAGGCTTTACTGTCTAGACAGGAATGTTAGGATATGCATACACCCTATGTTAAGCATATACTTTTCTTGCCATGGTAACAGTGAAGCCTTTATAAGAAAGTAGCAAGTTGAGTTTAAAAAGGCAGAATTTGCTATGCTGTGATTTTATCTTTTTTTTAGAACAAGATATAATGAAAAGATTTACAGTGACAAGATGGGAAAACCCTAGTTACTGCATCCAAGTTCAAAATAGCTATATCACTCTTCTCCAGTTTCTACCTAGGAAGAGCTGTGGTCAGCTGAACAGGAAGCTTCAAGTCCTGTGACAAAAAGCTGGTGATTGAATGCCCAGTGGGAGTATTTTCCACAGCTAGACAGATGAAATGAACTGAGAGAGCAGATAATGACATCAACAATACACAGCAGGACCTACATATAAGGTCCCCCAAATACTTCTGAATTTATATGTGTACTAGTCCCACCTCTCTCCATGCTAAGATAATACAGTAATTCCTGTTGCTGTGTCTTTCATGTTTAGAAATGAACAAACAGGCCAGAGAGACAACAGCACTCCTCAGGAGCTGGGGGGCCCTCAGCCAGGCCTGCAGGGCCCACTGTGACCCTTCCATCTCCTGCTGCACACACATGCCCTGATCCACATCCCAGGCAGCATAAAGCTGGGCATGTTTTATACTCTTCTCTAGGTTTTAGATTCTTTGCTCAGATGAAGATACCCAGTTCAGTGCAGGAGTCATTTCAGTGTGCTAGGAAACAAGGGAAGCAGTGTTCAAGGCAATCAAACTGTTCAACTGCCTAAATCCTTTTTGGTTTTCTCTGCATCAGCATCCCCCAAACCTGTCTCCAGGGCTATACGAAGCAGTTTTAAGCAAAAAGTTTTACTTTCAGCAGTGTTTTTGTTCAAGCTTCCAATAGGAAATGGCTAAATTTGCTCGGTGGTCACTAAGAAATGGAAGGCCAGAAGTGCCATACAGCTTCAAGAAGCTAAAAATCTCTGGAATGTTTTCCTCTCATATCTAATACTTCTCCATTCAGGTCCACAGATGGTCATGGATGCAAGACCAAGAGAAGACCTTGTCTTGTCACCAAAAAGCTGAAAAAAGTGACTGAATAAGGAGTAACACAGTAAGTTGTACACTATTCCTTTATCTTAAACATTTTAAGAAATTATATTTTAAATTAAAACAGAAAATACCATGTTGCTTTTCCCGCTCTTCTCTGCGCTCCCTGGCCAGTCTTTGTCTCTCTTCTGTTCTTAGAGTAGAACCATCTATCACTGCAAAAAAAGAAAAATTGAAGACACACAGTCACACAGTCAGTTATTTTGAACATTCAATTTTAAATTAGAAAGTCAAAAGTCTTTACTATCAAAAAGACAATGAAGCTTCCTGAGAGATACATACCACCAAAGCACTGCACACCCTGGACAGTGATTAAAGATGTCATCTGAAAAATTCACAGGAAGCTGAAGACCCCCCTTTTCTCCCTTTCCATTCCCTCAGAACAACCAATCCACTATTTTTAATAGATGCAGCAAAAAGCAGACCCAATATTAAAAGGCTCAATGCATCCAATCAAAAGAAGGCCTGAGCAAAAGTCACATGTATGAGAACATACTTTTATTCCAAATTCAGCTCTGATCCACATTCTTGTACATACAAATTCCTGTGATCAAGAACCACAGAAACCTAGGGAAACTCAATCTGAGAACAGACAGTTCACCCACCATGACAAATTCCAAGCCCTATAAGACAGCTAGTTTGCAGGCTAAGCACAACCAAGACTCTCTAAGTCTCTGCAGGTATAAAAAATATCCATTTCAGCAAGAAGTGAACTGGTAACCTGACTTGAGCACAAAAAAAATAATTTATCTTTGTTCTTATGCCCCACTGAAATGGTAGGGAACTTCACCAACTGAACTCTGTGAGTAAAGAGCAAAAGTCTGTTATTAAAACCAGACCTTCGATGAATGTACAAAGCAAGTACCAGGTGCTTTATGCTCTGATGCCTCCTGAAGAAAAAAAAGCACCAAGCTTATTTATAAAGATGTTTTATTAAGTACCTACTAACACTTCCTTGTGAAGCCAATACTTCATTAAGAACAATGACCAATAATTATACCTGGTTTAGTTGCTGTCTTTATATTTATTGAGGTCTGGACTGCAATAGGGCTAATGCCACTTTGGCTCCTCCTTTCTTCTGCTATGGCTTGGGCTGCAGCAACTGTGAGAAAGAATAATTCCATATTAAGAAAAGCTCTACAACCAAAACTCATTAAATAAATATCTTTAAAAATTACATAACATTCTATTTGAGGACCCAGATCTTTTTATTAAATAACTAACTTGGAACTGCTCAACTTGTAAGAAGGAAGAACTTACCAAAAACTTCAGACCTGGCACAGCTTTTCTTTGTAAAAACAAAACTTAAAAACTTCACATTTTAACATGTGTAGCAAAGGGCTATAGATCTTTTATAAAATCAAACTTTTCAAATATTTAGCAAAGTTATAAGTCTGATTTACACTTAATAAGAAAAACTCCTTGCTACAGCAGGTGTATCTGTGGGCTGAACAAATATATGTGTTAGTTGATTAGCACTGGGAGAATCACATGCTGATGAAACCCAAGCAGGGACAGGTTTATGGAGACCTTTCTTTATTTCATTACATGAAACCAGTGGATTAGCTGCATAAAGTAAATCATTAAGGGATGCTTACAGTGTATTTTGAAATCTGGATCTTCAAAAATAAACTTTAATTATAAATTAGACTCCAAAACAGTAATTTTAGCATTTGTGCAGAGACTCATTCACCTTACTCAAGTTTCACCAAGGTGAGGACAGTGACCTGCTGGGCTCCAATCCCAGTCAATCATACAGAACTGAAATGCTAGCAATAGAAATGTCACTAAATAATGAAATCCATTAAGAAGCAAGGAGACTAATTTACTGTATCACTTTTCACAGATTTTCTTTATTTTGGTATCAACTTTCCCTTGGACTAATCACTTTTTAGGGTGTGAAGGGCTCCAGGGAAAGTGGGCAGGGCAACCTGTAAAACAGCATCACCCCATTTTCCTGCACAGCTTTGAACTGGAGTGTCCTTGCAGCAGTGACACCTTGTGCTCACCTTGGCTGACAGATACTGGGAGATCAACTTGGTTCTCACAGAAAAGCCCAACTCTGGGGGGAAGCAAGAGAACACACCACACAATCAACCAACTCTAGAAAGCAGAAGCTGATGCCTCTTTTAAACAGAAAAGGCAATTCATAAACATAACACATAACGTGCTGTGGTTTCAACTCTAACATGTAGGACAAATGCTAGAACTTGGTGTTACATTAAGAACAAGAAAACAGCTTTGCCAAGGATCTCAGGCTTCCCTTAACAGAGCAGTGCAGAATGCAAAGGAGGAAGGAAGAGTCTCCCTCTTCTCCATGCATTGCCATGACAACTAGTTGTGTCATGGTAATAACCCTCCCTAAGGCTGTGCCCAAGAACAATCACCTCAAAGTGTTTAATCCCATGTGATGTCAGTGATAAATGCTGACTACAATACTTATTCAGCAACTCTAAATTGTCACCCGCAGCTGTTGCCATGTCTTGAATTATTTTTTCATTGCAGCACCAAACAAAAGTCTTCCTCAGTTCCATCCCATACATCTCCAAGGCTCTTTTCAAACAAGTCAGTGAGCAGATACACCGGGACATGGTGAGGTTACCAATAGGCAAAGAGAGCAGCTAAAGAAGGGCTCACTGTAATTCCACTATGTAGATGAGAAGTCAGTCAGAAAGCTGATTTTGTACAGTGCTGCACATCACACGGATGAGAATTTAGCCCAAGAATTCACCAAGTGGAGAACAAGAAAATTATATATTCTAAACAAAATCAGATGTGAAAACAGTCTGAGGAAACCAGCCTCCTGTAGCTTCTTCTGAGAGCAAAAATACACAGCCAGGGTATTTAGATCCAATTACACCTTTGCAGATCACAAAGGCTGACAGAACATAAGCTATTTCAAACACCATTTAAAGTGAAGATGGATACCGATACCCAGTTTCATCTTCAGTCTTCATCAGCAAAGGAGGAGACAGGAGGTGCACAGGCAGACAGAGCCAATTCAGCCCAGCCCAGCTGGGAAATGAACCTGACTGAAGAAATTCACCCTACACCTACACCAGGTTTGGTTAAGACAAATACTGGAATTTGCCTCAACTCTCCAAGTTTAAACATCCACATTTCTGTAACAAAGGTATAGTAAGAAGCAAACTGCCCTTTAAACAGCTACAAAATTAATAGTATTTTACTTGCAAAAGTATTTTATTATTGGCAATCTTGCTGAACAAACCAGTCATAATGGATGTAATTTCATTTTGAAAAATAAACATACATCTGAATAATGTTAATGATTAGAAGGTACTCATTAAAAAAATTGTGTCCTACCTGCAAAGCAATTAGTCACATCTTAATTGATTAAGGTTGCAAAAAATTGCTTGAGATTCTACAGAAAGTGGGTTACAGAAACAGTACAGCTTGCAAAGGACACAGAGGAGAAAAAAAAGCCTAGAAATACTTAGACAAAGGATTTTGTATGTCAGGTAAAATATAAATGTTCACTGTTTCAATGCCTCATTATTTTTATAGAAACAACGTGCTTACAAATTTGAAAGCAGAAGATTTAAAGGCACAAGGAGAGCACCTCTGTGTTACACAGAAACAATCAACTAACAGAAAGTTAGAATTAAAAGTGAACTGAGGATGTGAACAAAAGATTATTAAAAGGGGAACAGCCATCACATTAGATGCATCCCCAAGATCTGTGAGCCTGATTTCACCAAGTCTCAGGTCAACAGGCAGATTTTACAGCCCTTGTCAATTTTATGATAAATTTACAATATGAAACTGTGATTTTCAAGATCCACATTCTACTACAGTAAAGGAAAATCAATTTCAGATTGTTATACTCTGCAACTTTTAAAAAAGTATTTTTTATTTTAATATGATAAAACAAATCTTAGGTTTTAATACACTTAAGTGTGTAATTATTAGCACAGATGCCGATAACTCTTTTGCCTAGCTGTCCAAAATGAATGTAGCACCTGCTGTGGAGCAGAACTTCACTGAAAAGAATTTTCCACAAAATCTAACAATCTCTGTAAAATAAGCCTAATGCTTCTGTAATAAATCAGGGTACCCCCAAACAGGAAATCAGTTAAGCACCATTTCACTAAAACCTGTGTTTCATGATTGAGGGGTGCCTTCATGGGCATATTAGCAAAATTCGCAGAGAAGCAAAATTAATTATAATTTCTATTCTGAACTTCTCCTCCCACAGTAGTCACTAAAGGCTTTCAAAACTATAATTTGTGATCAGCATGATATGTGTGCTTTTTTCACAGTACCTTTAAACACCTTTAAACACTTCAGCTAAAATTAATAAAAGTACAAGCACGTGGTCAGTAATAATATTTGCATTCATGCATACTAAAACAAGGCTGTGTGGAACACAAAATGGTTGGGGAGCTTGGGAAGCAGTTTTCCTTCTGCACCCTCCTCGCTGTTTAGCACTGTGTGTCTGGCCAAGTGTGTCATGGAGAAACCAAACCAACAGAAGCAGCAGG